AGAGAGAGAGAGAAGAGAGAAGAGATAATGGCATTCCGGGCCGGGGCATAATGGCCAACAATGGCCGGGCTCGAGAACCGATTTGTTCCTGTCCGCCAAATTACGACTCTGCGTCTATTTTTTGCGTCTATTTGTCCGTCTATTTGTGCGTCTATTTGCGTGCACTCTCGATCGGTGATTGAGACCTCCACGTTTGACCCCGAGGTCGAGATAAATCCACGGTGTGAACAGGCCCTAAGTAAGAAGACGCACGCACGCGCGCTTCCTCGTTAGCCGGTTTGACGCATGGACGATGGCATGCGATAACGGCATACGATGATGGCACGGGATGATGGCATGGGATGATGGCATGCAGATCACCGTAATTGAGACCTCGAGAAAAAAAAAAGTATCGATGAAAATACGAGACAGGGAAATATGCCAGGTCGAGGTCAGAGGCAGAGGCATCGTATTTACGAGGCAAAGTATGCGGTGAGTATATGCGAATGAGTGGAACAATTTTTCCCACCTGGTTATTAAGGCCAATCCATCTTGAGTCCAATATGATGGGGCCCAGGGGAAGAAAATCCACATTACACACGTTGTGAGAGAGAAGAGAGAGAGAGAGAGGAGAGAGAGATGCTTCTCTTTTCCCTTTTATGAATCACTTGTTCGCATGCTGCATCTTCTTTTCATCTCCTCGTGCCCTTCGGGGGATGCGACCGATTTTTTCCGTCACGGCCTTCTGCGGATTTTTTTTTTTTTTTTTTCCTGATCCATCACGTCCGTAACACGAGACGGGTGTGTCCGCGGAGAAACGGGGAAAGAAATAAATATGAATGAGTTTTCCCTCATTCTTCATCAGAATCTCAACCGATAATTAGTCGCTATATTTCAAGGCCCAGACATCACTTTTCGCACATGTAAGAAAGGGCAATTAAAAGGAAATTCTCCTCCTCTCGTCTCGGCTGGAGGGGGGGATTGTTTTTTTTTTTTCTAAAAGCAGAGGAATGCCTCATCTGTCCACCATCGTTGAATAACTTGGGTTGATTAGGAGCCGCAAGCGGCCGCGGCGTCCTCAAGCCCCCGCAAGCGCCCTCAAGCGCCCTTAACCCCTTAAGTGCGGAATTTCTCGGACAGAAGACTACCGACGGAGTAAGAAATAATTTTCGTGAGAATAACATTTGGTGTTTTTGCAAGATGTGTACCACTCTTTCTCGAGTTTATACTCCTATTTCGAGTTTCAAATTCACATTTACCTCAAACTCGAAATATTAAGCGACGGAAAAAAATGGCTAACCCCCCCGAGAATCATTTCGCCATGACGGATATATCCGTCATACCCGCTGAAGGAGCTAAGCGTCCTCAAGCGCCCGTGTCCTCAAGTGCCCTCAAGCGCCCTCATGGGCCTGCTAACCGTAAGTCCAACGTGTAATTTCTACCCCCATTTCAGGTTTTTTTTTTTTTTTTTTCCTTGGCTGTATTATGTGATGCTTAACACGTTGGCTCCGGATGTCCAGTTAACTAGACGTTCGGTATGCCAAGAAGCATGGCAGGTATGTAAGCCTGGTACAAAAAAATATATATGAGGGGGGGAGGGGAAAGGGGGGGAGTGAGGGGGGAGGGGGAATAAATGAGGTGAATAGAGATCTCGACGATGCCATTAAAAAATGGGCGTCGTTCCGCAGGCGAGGAACTTGGACTTTTCAAGCCTTTCAGTCTTTCGAGCAGGACGAATCTGAAAGGATTGAGCAATCGGGAGTGTGGAAAGAGAGCGAGTTTAATGATGACGTCTCGAAGATGGAAAAGGGATGCTGGAGAATTAGACCCCGGGTCACTCACACATCTCTACGAAGGAAGTCATGATAGGGATCTAAGAGGGGGGGAAAAAGGCATACGTAGGCACAGGGACTGCACGCGCCTGTGGAGAGAAAAAGAGAAAGGCATAAATCAAGATATCACATGATGTGATATGAGAGTGTGGAACCTGTAATCAACGTCCCGGTTCATTTGTCTCCGGGATTCTCCGCCTCATTCATCAAATTCAGGGCAAACACACGGAGCGAACATCTTTGCCGAAGGTCCTGACCTTACATCCTTTCCCGTTTTTTTCTCTCTCTCGTTTAATGTGGGGGAGAGAAGCGGCCGGGTTTCTCTCCCACGGAATGGAAACCGAAACCCTCGTCGGAGATGCGTCGGACACGATTTTCTTTTTTCCCCGAGAGCAATCGACACGGGAATGCAGACGGGGGGAGCCAGATGGGCAGAAAACATGTTCCACGGCGTCACGGTGACCCTTGACCCCGGAAACCTGGAATCAGTCGGGCGCCGAGGGTCCAAGGAAGGGTAGACAGAAAGAGAGAGAGAGAGATGGGTACCCTTTCACCTACATGTAGGCTACGGGGTAGGGGGCTGCACAGTCATCGTGCAAGGTGGGGCTGTGGGACGGTGGGGCGGTGGGTGTCGTGCCATCCACGTTTCCCATGCCACGTTCGCGTGAAGGCAATTTGGGTGCTGGGGCATTCCTTATGGGTGCCTCTTCGCAAGGACACACCCCCGGGAACGGGAACAATGGGAGGGAGGAGGGACAATGACAACATTGTCTCTTTCTCTCTCTCCCGTGACGTGTCCAGGGTAAAAAAGAAAAGCCAATTTCGCTTCAAACCGATGCGAGGGAATTTTCTTATTCCCCCTTGTTCCAGGAGAACAAATTCGTGATGGATGAACGGCGGCAGATGGAGAGCGAGATGCTCGGATCCATCCATCACGTCGTATTATGGTTGTAAGGGACTCGGCTCCCTTCGAATCTCGTTTTCTTCGCTTCACGGTCGTTTTGCGTCGAGGCGAAGACTAGTAGTTTTCTCGCGATCCCATCTTTTCCCCACCGGTCGCATTACAGATTTTGTTCTCGCAGGTGATTGAGCTGTACTCGAAACGAGAGAAAAAAAAAAAAAGGAAGGGGTCCCTGATGAAGAGGAACAAGGGAGAGGGAACGCGTGACGCCTTATGCATACAAAAAAAAGAGAAAAATTAAAAGGTTTGGGATTCGGATCTTGGGCTCGGAGGCATGGCATGCGAGCCACGAAAATGGACGTGATATTTATTCAAGAGAAAAGGGGCAAAGGGAACCGCTTAATTTTATGCACACGGCCACGTGACTGTGGCTTTTTAAGCCTGTAATTTTACCAGGCAGGCGTATTTGTTAAAAACTCCTAGACCTTTTTTCCATACCCCTCGCACGCTTTTTCTCATCCAAATATGGGCCATTCCCTTTTTTTTCCCTCTCTTTCTCACTGAACCAATATTTTCATACATGTTCTTTTCAGATCAGGATCCAAGCTGCACAAAGACTACCCTCTTACGGTATACACGAAGGCGTGACAACTAAAAAAAAAAAAAACCTGTAAAAAGAGGGAACGCCCCCTCGAGATATAAAGAAGACATGTCGCTTTTCTTTCATTGAAACGGGAGTCCATCCATGCAACGGCAGCCCTGGGTAACAGGTGCACTATGAGGATATAATAGGGGAGAATGAATCTTATTATGCTGGAGGGGTCTCTGATTATGTCATATTTCGAGGCGGGTGGGCCATGCACAGCCAAAACAGGGCATTGAATGCCAAGAAAGAGAGGATCTCTCCCTCCTTTTGACCTTCTCCTCTTCGCTTTATATTGCTCAATACCATCTCCTTTTTTTGGAATTTCGTGTTGGGATGCGGGAGGGGAGGGGACCGCCCTCGGTGGAATGATAACACCGTGTTCCATGCCTGAGTCTTTGCTCTTTTTTTTATTCTCTCAGCTTCCCTCTGATAGGCAATAAAAATTATCTCGACCATAGACAATAAAAGGCATTCTCTCTCCCAATCCAATTCGACCCACTATGGGAAACATAAAACGAAATCATATAAATTAGCATAAACGCTGGGCGCCCTTCTTCCATCTGTTTTTTTTTTTGTACATTCAATGAAAGCAGGGACAGAGAGACACAAAGGAATGGATCCTTGGTTGAGATTCTTCTCGCAATCGTGGTGTTGAGAAAAGAAATCCAGGATGATGCTCGAGTGTGGAATTTAATGTCTAAATTTCCTGATTGAAAACGTGAACAAAAAAAAACTCATAAAGGCAATGGGAACTACGAGAATAAAAGGGAAAATAACTGTAATGGGGCAAACAAACAAATGGCATGAGCATTGCGGAGGGTTCTGGCAAAGGATACCCTCTCCCTACATCCATAATCATCACCAATATAATTAAAAACTCGCCAACAGCTATATACATCACAGCTCTTTTTCTTTAAATGTGGGAGCGAAGAAAGGATCATGTCTTCGAGATCACGGCTTCCACTTCTTCGCAAGGAGAAGGAAAGAGTAAGAAAGAAGCACGGATAGGATGAAACGAGAGAAAAAAAAAAAGAACTTGAAAAGAGAGTGGACGAAAGCCTTGAATCTTCTCTTTGGACTATTGAGAGAGAACGGGAATACACCACGGACAACACCAGCTTCCTTTTCCTTAGTCTTTTTTTTCTCTTCCACTGCACGACTCTTGACTCTCTCACTATGGCCATTGTCACGTGTATTCTGTCCTCCATGTCGCCTGCAACAGAATGAAGCCATTCTTTCGAGGGAAATCCATCCATCAATGTTGGCATGCTCTAAACTAATCGCTTGAAATGGAAAAAGCATTTTCGTCGCAATCAACGGCCAAAATACCAATACACTGATTTCTATGCAACAGACTCGAGACTGCAAACTTTCCAACTTTTCGTAACATGCCTACAGCCGTTTCAAAACTTTTAGGCACCGACGACACGCGAGTTCCCTCTGGATGCAAACAGATTTTCCATCGCTTAAGTCTCATAATCCCCATACACGTGAAGGGAGCACCGAGGTGTCTTTACGGATCAAAAGTTTTGAATATTGTATGGTTTCATCGTGATTTTCCTGACAGTCACAGGTGACTTTAAATGTCGGAAAGACCTCAAAGAAAGGTATGACTAAAATTAACCCTCTCTTTAATCCTTACCATGGAGTTGGAGTGCGACAATGCGAGGGTGGTAGGGGAGGTGAAGGAGAGATTGGTAGCGGGGAAGCCGGCAGCGGCGAGGGAGCCGGCCATAGCCATATGTCCCGTGAACCCGGAATGGGGATGGTGTCCCAACCCCACTCCCAGCCCCCCTCCGCCCATCGTCCCACCATGCCCATGACTGTGATGATGATGGTGGGCAGCCGCAGCCATCCCTGCCATCCCTGCGGCCGCTCCGGCCCCGTACATGTAGGAGGCGTGAGGGTATCCGTGCGTGGTCGCACCCGTCGCTCCGAAGCCCGGGAAGCCACCTTTCCCGTCCAAGGGTTTCAGGATGTCGGGGAAGGTCAACCCGTTCTTTTTCTTCTTCGATTTTGCCGACAGCTTCCGATTCCGTGTCTGGATCCCTTCCTTTTTCATCGTCAGCGGTCGGTTTACCTTTTCGAGAAAAGGCAAGGGGGGAATTATTTTCGAAATTGATGGATTTACTTTTTTTTCAACCTGGAAGAAAAAAATGAGGTTCACGTGATTTAATTGAAAACGGGGTGTAATGTGACCCAGCGTGGAGCCTGGGAAATGATGATGATGGACCTCCCTCGGACCATACCTTGGGTGCCCTCTTTCATCATGGAATCGCAAACCAGCCCGGAGGCGAGAAATAAAAAATTAAAAATATACCGCTTGAAAAAAAAAAAACCGTACTAAACATGTCGGAAGACGATTTAAGTGTTTTTCATCGAGGTGCACGGGAAAGAGGAAAACAATTAAGATGAGGTGCCGACAAAGTGGTGTTTCTTTTTTCCGATTGTTGACAATAAGGAAAATCTCGTTCACTTGTCCTTTCGAAATATCCGCATATAGGGAGTGGCCATCAAAAGTCAGGTGGAGGCATAAAGAATGTGGACTAGGACATTCATTGATTGGAGCTGGATTTCCATTCTCAGCCCGAGGATGGCATTCCCTGATCAGATATGGACTGATGCGTGGGAGGGAGAAGTCGAGAAACAAGGGGGAAAAAAACTTCCTTGAAAGAGAAAGAAAGGGGGACAGTCCGTCAGACTAATTGCCTCCAGGTCGTCGCCAATTATCTCGGCAGGACTGATCCAGTCGCACCTGGGGAAACATCACCCCTCTCTCTGTCCATACAGAGTTCCATCTGTCTTGAACAGGAAAAGGTCGAAAAAAAAGGGTGTGGAGAAAAAATGACGGGGTGGAGAAATTTGACAGGTGAGTCGATGGGAACTGCTGACAGGTATAATTTGCGGGAAAGGGGAGAATGACTGTCCTTGTCCTGACTGGGCAAATTCAATACGACCGCGGTCGATCAAACCGAAAGTGGAATGGACTTGTGGCCTGTATGACTTGGGCCTTGGAAGCCTCAGCGAGTACATAACAGTGGAAAGCAAAAATGAGAGGGGAGGAGAAGAGAGAGAGAGAGAGGGAAGTATGATTTGTACTTGCTTCTGGCAGGGAAGCACTTAAATCGAGGAGCTGGGGATAATTTTCAACAGTTTCTTTTTTCTTTTTGTTTCTTTGAACCCTCGGGGCTCCACGTTTCCATCTTTCATCTCACTAACAGCTAATTTTCATCGAGTGTATACATCTACCGTCTCTTTCTTTCCCTTCTCCATATCTTCTCCGGATTGCATGATTCAGTCCCATAATGGAAGTGTGTCTGTCTGTCTGTCTACAGACACAGACACAGGCCACCTGTCAAAAAACGTGGGCGCCTGGGTTCTTCTAATCCAGGATGATACAAACTCCGGGCACAAAGACGGACAAGAGGACATGTAATCCTTTAAGCAGGTCCCATTGAGTGAAAAGCCCGAGTTTGGTAACACGACTCTCTTTTCTCCCCTTCCTTTTGATGAAAAAAAAAAGAAGAGGGATGGGATGGATGTTATCAGCAACTTTCTTTCTCCTTCGTCTCCCTTTTGAAACCCATTTCCTTGATGAAAACAGGGCATTGAAACCGTCATCATACCCAAATTATCCCCCTTTTCACAATGTCTGTCTGTGTCTCTCTGAGACGAGAAAAAAAGTTTAAAGTCAAACCGAAAATTAGGGACGATCAGAAACTGGAAGATGACCTGTTGGAAAGAAACATGAGGTTGCCGATTTTTTTACCCCCCTTCTTTTTTCAAACACTGACATCTCCAGATTGGGGGCAATCAGAGCGTTCCCACTCATCCCCGGACTTGATTTTTCATCCAGGTCTACATTCGGAGTCGTGGGGGGTTAGTCGAAGAGGCATTTTTTTTTAGGGAGTCATGTAGAATACTATGAGGGCGGGAGATGCGAGGAAGCTTGGCCAATGCAATTATGAAGATGACGCTGCAAATACTCCCCCTTCTGGTCCCTCATGCCAGTGTTTCTCCCTCCGATGGAAACAAAAACGTTTTTTTCATGGAAATTCATCTACAGGTGAGCCTAGAGAGGGAGGTGTCTGTGTCTGTCGTATGTCCTTTGGGGAGTCGGTTCACGTAGGAGGAGAAGACGTTGAGTGACGCTGAAGTCTTCGTCCACCGACAGCCTCGTCCGTCATCTCCCTCTCACATCCCTGCATTCCCACTGTACCATCCCTAAGTTCCCTCCTCTAACATCCCTGCATCCACCACTCGCTTTTTCTTCCGCCCTCTAAAGAAAGTGTTTTTCTTTAGTTTTTTCCTCTCTCTCTCTCTCTCTCGCACCCACGCGCACGGACAGAGAAAAGGGAGCACTTTCACTACTGTATGTCACAATGCCATCGTTCCACGCGTCGAATCGTTCCATTACATTCGAACCAGATCGTATTGTCCGTAAGGAAATGGAGCAGACGAGTGAAACCGAAATCCTGCGGTATAAGTAGCGTTCCGGATGTGCGCATGCCGGCTGGAAACCGAAAAAGGAGAAGGAAAAAAAATCCAGACAGGCGTAACAAAAAGGAGTCGCGTGCTATTTGCCCACAAATGACACGGCAATCTTCCACGCCCTCCCTAGAGCTAGAGTCTGAGAATAAAAGGACGAGGAAACTAGTTAAATTGCTTCATAATGGCAACTCACCCTGGCTTATTGGGGGCTTTTTTGTTCGGCGCGACCGGGAGTCCCAGCACGAGGCCGGCAATAAATTATGCGCCATAAACGTTTTTAATCACGAGTCACCGGGTGGGGTTGGTTTTTTTTTTTTTCTTCTCCACCGTGCCTCGCGGCAATTCTTCCCTTATTTATGAAAAATCTTCCTTCCCTCATCGTCATCGTCGTCATAGAGGGAAGAAATTTCAAACCATGGGATGACACGGCAGTCTTCTCCCGTGAATATAAATCCGGTTTATCGGGCATTCCGATCGAACTCGGAAGGGATATAGCCAACCCGCACACTTCTCATCAAGGAGATTGCTCCCATTTTTTTTATACACCGAGCAGAGCGTGTTATAAACGAGTCACGGAGCGAAATGAGATCGTCCTGCTCTCAGTCCTCTGCGGAGGAGGAAGGGATTTGGACCATGGACAAGTGGAGGAGGATCTCACGAAGCAGCCGCCAATCCAGTCGGCCGCTTTCGTTCCATCCTCGCTTCAACCTTTGTCACCGTACCGATGCAGAAACTTATGTATTCTAGGATCGAATACGGGAAAATAAGTGCATGGCACAATTTACCGAGTATTTATTTCTCGGATCTGTTTCAACAGCAGCCTCTAATAAATAATAGATTTTACAAATAATTTTGGCCCCACTATCAGCCCTTTAAAGTGAAAATATTTCCCTGCAAGGAGAAGGCAACCCAAAAGGGTGAAAGGAATCTTCCCGCCGTGAAAGCGGAACGCAACGGGATTAGCTGCAGTGCGGGAAGACGCGAGCAGAGCCGCCCGGGTCGAGCAGCGGATGATCCACTAAAAAGACGATAAGCTCAAGAGGGTGACTCAATTGCTTCCGATAACGTCGTTCACCCGGCCAAACCACCAGGCACTCCCACGCCCTCCCTCCCCGACAAGTATAAAATAAAAAAATATATATAAAGTGGGTTTGAAACTGACGTTGTGGAGCTTGAAATAAAGTCCGCAGGCGTTGCAGACTGGTTCCCCATGCTGATTCCGCCTCCACAGTGTCGTCGTCGTTGTTTTGCAATTGGAGCAGCTCGTCCCTGCTCGACGAGATGCACTCTACGATGGGGAAAACAAAAACAAGACCACGAGATAAATCCACTGAAGTTTGGGATTCGAACGATGTACAATGAGGGCTTTAAATTCCGAATCAAATTATTTTTACAACGTATAAAAAACTTAGAAGTCGAGGCAAATAAAATTTAAATAAATTTCTGAAAATGTCGCAAAGCAAGAAACGCAATTACGAGGCAAGCGACCCATAATTTCGGAGGTGGTATATGGAGTGCCCCTCGTTATGGACCGACTCGGAAGGGATTATCAGATGCAGACTTATGGCAACGAGGACACGCCTTCATCAAGAGGAATATCCTCGTTAAATCCACGGTCATTAAAAGGGCCTATCGGCCGGGGATCTCTCTGTCTCTCAAGGGCAGTAAATCCCCTAATAGGGCCCGAGCAAGCCAGCAGGGAAAAAGGAAAAGCGAGGGGAAAAAAAGGACTCTCTCGGGCGGTGATATATGAGGAAGACGGGGATTGGCTGCGATGGAGTAGGAAGGGGGCGTGGCAACACCGGCTGGGGGAATGGGACACTCACACTCAGACACGAGAAACAAAGGACACCCTCATGAAACATGGACACTGCCTCTTTCTTTTTTTTTTTTCTTTAACGTAGCCCTACATGCTACATCCCCTTGGGGCTGCATGGATGGTACATGACCTCTTGAATTCCCTTCATGGGAATCCCAGCAGCAAGCCTTTCTCATGAGACACTTGGTCTTTTTCTTCCGTCTTCTTTCCTTCTTTATATTACGACTTCCCTTCCTCGTGTCCCCCGACCGTGTTAGATGTCCGTCGATATCAGGCGAAAAAAAGCCTTTGTGCCTTTCTTTATTCATCCTCTTTTCATGCTCGGGTGTCTTCCCATTCTATCGGCTCCCTTCATCTCGCCCATATTCGGCCAAAAGAGACAGGACCGTATTTATTCTTTTTCAAAACTCCTAAATTGGGTTCAGTTGACCTGGATGACGGAAATGGGGGGAGTGGACGACAGGAATCCACCACTCGAGCCCCCAACAGAGTATGAAAAAATCCCAGAGCCAACGCCCACAAAAAGAGGAATCAAATCACACAAAAGGGAGGAAAAAAAAAAACAACTCACCAGTCGTCGTTTAGGTTTGATGAGAGGTCGATTCTGGCCGTTCATTTTGTGGTAGAGGCCACAGGCATTGCATAAGTAGTGGCCCGTGCCATCACGTCGCCAGAGCGGCGTGCTCGTCGCCCCGCAATTCACGCACTCGCGCCCCTCTAACAACAAACAATCGAAAATTCAGCATCCTGCTGGAAAACTTTTTAGATGTAAGAAACGAAGAAAGGGACATGGGGGAAAGTGCATGAAAAGACAAGACAGTGTTAGTTCGTGTCTCATCATGCATATCTATTATACGAAGCGTGAGGTTGAGAGATATAAAAAAAAGGCGTGCATGCACATCGCACGGACATGGGAGATTGGACATGAGGCAGTGATTACTGATTAGGGACATCCCCAATGATCATCATCACGTCGCATTCCATGACGACCTTACACGTACACGCGTCCCCTGCACGCTCATCACGCCACTTTTTGTTCCTCCTCTCTCTTCTTCCAATTAAAAACGAAAGCCAGTCTGTTGTGCAAGAGGCCTAGACATACGGGGGATTTCATTGAAGGAAAAAAAAAAAAAGACTCCTCCCTGCTTGTTATTCGGGTCGAGTAGGATCAATAAAATTCTGAGGGCATGAATATGGTTCGGGTGATTTTACGACGATGTACCGGGATATATTCCATTCCGATAAATCACGGATGTCCTGGGCGGAGAACGGTGGACAGGGAGAGATGAATTCAGCATGAGGGGATCATATGAAGGAGGAGGAAAAGGAAGGAAAAAAAAAAAGAAAGAAAAGCAGGCTCTTTGCCCAATTAGGGAGGGAGGTTGGAAGAGATCGTAAATTGTGGAGAGAACCAGTTCAGCCGAGGTGATGCGACGTGGACCTGACAGCCCGTTGACGGACCCATTTTTCACGCTATTCCCTTCCCATTCCCCCCACACACAGACACGAGAGTACAGCAAACAAGGACCGGTCGCAGGTACCTACCGGATCCAGGGGTTCAATCATTCTGCCTTTCCCGTGTCATAAGCTGTGACCCGTTTCGCTCCGAACCGACGATGAGCGACCTCGAATGTCATCCGAGCGCCCACGTACGACGACATGATGGACGATGGTGATCTGACAGGTGGAATGCGATTCTTCCAGCTAATGAAGCGATATGCCCTGGCTTTTATGACCCATCCCACGAAAACAACGAGGTCTCACAAGGACATCTACTACACCTCCACCAGCGGATATGACGGAACGAGAGAATTTTGCGAGAATTCCTTTCGTCACGATAAACCAACTCGTCAGTAACGACGGAGCACCAAGAGTCGAGGTATAGTCTCGTAACAAGTTTTACGTCCCTTATACGCAGCCTCAAGGCCTCTCAATCTCGTGCAAGGACGAACTAGGACTGGTCCGAAAAAGGAACATCGAGTGACGCGATGAGTCTCTCTCAGCCCTATACCACATGCTCGCTTGTGAGTGAGAAAGAAAACCGATCATGCAGTGTGTTAGTGAAGTTTTGCAGGAGTCCGGGTTAGTCACTGGTAGTGAAGTGCAGTAGAGGCCAATGCGGGACTCCGATTCTTACCGGCCATACTTCGGCTCTTGGTTTTAGGCTTCACGCTGGAGATACTCGCGGCTTTCGACGCGGAATTGAAGGGACTATGGAGGTAGGACTCAGAAGGGGACGGGTAATAATTGGAATTCGAGGAGACATTCGGGTAGAAGGAGGAAGAGGTATAGGAATTCGATGACTGGATCAAAGAGGGATTGGAAGTGGAGGACGAAGTACCTTCCCGTTGAGATGCTATGCTTCCTGGTTTCACACAGGCCGCTGCTGCCTGAACCATTGCTCCTATGGAAGTCATCATCAGGTTCGGCTTCACGTCCTGATCCTCATTGTTAGTGTTGTTGGTGTTATTCCAGGCGGAGTTGTCTCCACCGGCCGGGGTATCGGGGGTGGACCCACCATCTTTCGGTGGCGTCGGCGGGAACGGGAATGGGTTTATCGAGGCCGGGTTATAGGAATTGTTGCTGGGGGAGGGAGACGTGGATGAGGAGGAGGAGGAGGGATGATAGGCTTTGGGATTGGGAAAACAATTCCATGAAGTGGAATGGTCGCTTTTCCCCTCTCCACTCGGTGAACTGGCTGACCCAGCTGGACTGGTGGCTGTGAACCAACCGTGGAGGGCTCGCACCATCCCCCCACCGCCCATCGCCGCTGCCGCCACCGCCGCTACATACAATACACACAATCACAACCACCCGGTCAATTGAAGATCGAAATCCCGCTAAACTCCAACTTCATCCATGGGTCAATTTATGCTTCATCGGGCTTCAAGGAACAATCGTGAAATCTCATTGATCGAGAAGGGCAAACAAACGTAACGCTTTGCGGAGATAAATTTGCACGAACGCTGCAGTCCCATTCCTGTCCGAATGTGTATCAATTATGAAACTCGCTTGCTTTCCATTATCGGATGTGATGAATGTGCGGATAAAGTCCTCTGACAGTTCTCACAATTACGACACCCGTCAGAGAGGAGTTTACCCTGTCTACAAAGACAGACTACGGACGGAGGGGGCGAGGGGGAAATCGAGGAGTTAACCAGGTGTCTGGGAAATTTTCTTTCCTCATCCATCACAGATGGAAGGAAACCCCCCTCCTTCCGTCCGCTTCCTCCCAAAAAACGTCTTCATGAACCCCTAGCACTTGGGAAGGGATTTTTCTCGGGTTCTCTCGAAACTTCCAAAATAGGCGACCAATAAATCAATAATTTGCGTCACTAGCTTCTAATGGCACAAACTGGTCCTTGGGTCGCAGGAGCCGAGTGTGAGACTTCATAACTAATCTCAGCATCGAAAGCATTAATCTCTGTCTCGGAAGAACAAGTTTTCTTCTCTGGCCGAGAACCAAGAAACCTCGACTGAACGGCCTTCGCTTCGAACGGAGCAGGCAAGAAAAGGAAAGAAATCGTTCGTTTCCCCCACGGTACATGCTCTTGCCCAAGGGAATTCGGTTCACGGATCGATCGAGGAAGAGTCGGCTGTCAGGGTGATCCCTGACAGAAGGTTTCGGCTCGGATCGTGAGGAGCCCCGCTGGTTCTCATATCTCAACACTGACCAACCTTTCGCCCTCGCTGACTCCGGACCCCACAATGTATATCTAGCACTGCAGGAATCCGGTGGGCTTTCCGAAATGACTCAAAACAAACCGTAAGACTTCGAATTTGAAAGAGTTATCTGCGCACGTCATTCATCACGAGCGACCGAGAAGAATTGCGACTCTTGCACAATGGGATCGGCATGCAAAGACGAGGGCATTCCAAAAGGATGTGGGTAAACAGGGGGAGGAAAAAAAAAAGAAAAAGATCCATAATTCATGATCTGTGTTTTCTCCCTTCCAGGAGCTGGAAGTCCTGCTGGCAACTCGGACATATTTCACGGGTTCCCTTCTGTGCCTGCCCCGGTGCCGAGGAGCAGTTGCACGAGGATATAACGTTTATATATATAGACAACACGAAGAACACAACACGTGATTGTTGGAGAGGATGATTTCGAGGGAGGCGTGCACGGCATCCCGAAGGAAGGGGAAACATGACGCATGGCCCCAACACCCCGTAATTTGTTCGCATAAGCGCGGGGTCATAAAATTCGAGAACCCCGCTTCTGGTTCTATTATAAGACACATGCACCTCACTCGAATCGAGGTACAGATGTATATATGCCTCGGAGTTTTCAAAGATCTGCCCAAGGGGATCCGACCACCGGCCGATCGTATATCCCATCGTCGAGAGAGAGGCTATTGTTCAAACACAATGGAGGCTGAGATTCATCCTATCGACTGGAATTGCCTTACCCCACAGCGCAATCTGATTCCGATCGTTGCTTCTTTTTTTTTTACAACTGAAGGTATCGAAGCACAAATGTTCATCAATCCCTCGAGCAGCGACAGAAACATAACCGCATAACTGTCGACGACATGCTCGTTGACGGATTTCGCCCTCTAAGACTTCGACTTCGCGCTCTCGTTACGTCATCACCGTCGCAGGGACGGCTCGTGGGAATTACGCCTAATTTCAAGAAAGCATTAAAAAAAAAATACTGAACTCACGATGAAGGGAGTCGAGACCGCGAACCCCGAACGCCATATCACTACACTGACATGACAGCAAGGGAAGTGAATATCGATAAGGGAATTTCCGTTCTGTATGACCTCAACAGTTTTTCCTCTTATGAGGGGGGAGGAGCGAGAACGTTCCACACAGCAATAGCCCCCATTGTCCCTGGCGAGATGTTCCTGCAGAAAGCCTTATAAAAACCTTCCCCAATAAAGCAATTTAACCAGGGTTTTCCGTGGAAGTCTCTTTGTTTAAGAGAGAAGATTGTGGCCCCCAATGTCAACAAACGCTTTCCAGGCCCATCATCATGACGTAAATCACAACTTCGACCTCTGCCCGTAGAGCAAAGCATCGTATCATTGATCCCCGTGTTTAGCTGACCCCCCCCCCCCTTCCGACGTCACCGATGATATCTGTCGAGAAGTACTGCAGTTTAGTGTGCTCTACGGTGCAGGCATTAGTAACTGTGCTGTTTTATAATGCCACGTTTCCTCAAAATGCGAAGCAATAATTTTTTTATTATAAGCACATGCAAAGGCGAAATACGTGTAAATGTCGAAGCAACCGGATTCAGAACGACGGAAACGCTTTAGGTTCAGATGGAACCCCGAATTTACAATGCTTTAAACGGGAACTTCATATCATTCGTGTCGGCTGGAGAATAAGCAGCCTTTCCTGCTTTCCCCGACTAATGCAACAAACATCAAGAGTCCCATTTAAAAAAAAAGAAGTTAATTTCAAGTCCACTTGAATGCAGCCCCACCTTTCATCTCCGCTTCCAAGAATCCCCGAATAGACTGCTTCTGGTGTTTCCAGGCGGATTGTCTCCGTGGAAAATGACCGTTACGTTACGTTACGATAACTGACGGCACCCAGCCGAACTCGTACCGACTTTGCTCCTGGGGTTACATTTACCAGCTCGAAATTGCGACCTCTCAAGCTCCGTTCGAAACTATCAGCCTCGTTCCCCATTTCGATGTGTGGGTCCGAACGAAAGGAAGGCCTTTGTAACGTAATGGCAGAAGAGAAAGCTTTCTACTTTGTGTTCGAGGATAGTGCGCTGAATCGCCATGCCACAGATAGCAGGTTCGATTCCCGGCCTCATGTAGCAACACGATGTCGCATTATTTTCCCTCGTGCTCTGAATATTTTTTTTTTTTTTGCTCAGTGCAATGGATTCAATTGCTGATCGTTGTTCCGCTGATTTCAATCCCAGTTCACGGCGCTACGTTTCGTATTCCTGGCACATTCGCGTTTCTTTTAGACCTGAAAATAGCGAAATATCGGATAACAATACAGCGATACTTCACAAACGATTTGGGGGGATATATACCGAATTTCATGGAGACGCTGAACGATACGGCAGAGCGTCACGTCGATCTGACGTTACGATTTATAGCCAGTACCAGTACCATGAACCAGAAACGACGCCTGCTGTCGGACGATAGGCGCTGCAAGATTTACACCACGTTCTGCCCCTGGAAAGCTGAAATCCCTGTCAAAACAGAGGCCTGAACCGACGCGAATGGGACAGCAAACGATTGTTAATTTTAGGAGTTTCCGAGGTTTTTTGTTTTGTAGAATGCAGAAAGCAAAAGCTGTTTCACAGGACAGGGCGAGGAGTATTAAATTTTTTTTTTTCCCCCAAAGCATTCCATTCACCCATGCAGTATTTTTCTGGTAGCGCGAAGAGGAAGCGACGATTCCTACCCGCTCGGACAGTGGATTCTTTGAAGATTTTTAGTGAACTTCTTCACTAGTCTGACGATGAACTCAAATTTCAACGCCGGAAATGACTCCCGCAGTTCGAGGGCAAAAACGTAAAAAAAAAGGGGGTAAATCTCAAAGAGCCAGAAATAAAGCGTCATTCGCAGTGATGGTTAGCACCGAGTCAGGGAGAAATACTAAAATCATTTTGAGAGTAATTACAGGAGATTATCTCAATTTCGAAACAATTGTGTTACTTCTCGATGTGGACTTTTCCTCGTCCGTGCCATACGGGCAAGGGGAAAACGCGCGACGGAACTCCCGAGGACTCGGCAGTCGTCTGCATCGGATCCAGACAGGATTGAAAAAATCGGACAGGACGGCCGCGGAACGATGTTCTCGAAAGCAACGATACGGCATAAGCATAAGCGGGTATGGGACACGAAGTACTGGTACTCACCGTGCGTGGAGGCAGAGGGATAGGGACCGTGGGAGGGATGGGCGTAATATCGAGCTCGGGGTGTCCCGATCCCCTGGCCCTGATGACCGTGGAGATGGTGATGGTCGATCGGAGGCGGGAAAAATTGAGGGATTTCGGTCACGTTGTTGGAGACGTCGTTGCCTGCTCCGACGTTGTCGGCGTAGCTTCCGCTCCCCTCGCCAGAGGAGTTGTACCAGCGTTCTGTCACCATCGCTGCACTCATGTCCATTATTGCACACTGTTTCACCTTGTAAGGATGGGGGGGGGGGGGTGTTCACAATCGGTACGACTAGATCGATCGGGGAGCACGATGCTGCACACACTGCCTTTTTTTTTTTTTTTTTTTTTTTTTTTTGTTTTTATGATTGAACCCCTGGATCCGGTAGGTACCTGCGACCGGTCCTTGTTTGCTGTACTCTCGTGTCTGTGTGTGGGGGGAATGGGAAGGGAATAGCGTGAAAAATGGGTCCGTCAACGGGCTGTCATGTCGCTGAGACAGACTGAAACAGACCAAGAAAAGGAAAAAAAATTGGGGGACGGAAAAAAAAACTCCTCCAGCTGAGAGCCAGACAGGATTAAGGCTAATCATGCACTTGCAGTGAGGGGGAGAAAAATCTCCTCGACGGGTTTGGGGGATTATCCCCGTCTTCTTTTGAAAGGAGCCGTCAAAATTGCATGTCTCATCCCTTTCTTCGCCGGACAACTCAACAGGGTATTCAAGGATGACTCGAGAAATAAGTTATCAGGAAGCGAAGTGCGACGAACGAGGGCATGCTACTTCTACTCTCTATATCCGTGCAAAGGCCTTATTTTTAGCTTTGCCTTCGTGGTCAACCGTGCTTGGCCCAGATATGTTTTTGTTATTCGATAAGGCTTTTATAGTGATTAATTACTAATCTTATAAGATAAGCGTTAACCTTTCTCGTATTAACCAGATATCTCGGTTGTTCTCGGCATTGCATAAAACTCTGCGTTTGGGAAGAATGGGAAGCTTACATTTTCGTAGACGCAGAGGACACTCCACGTTGAATCGAATCCACAGTATATATGTATAATAGCAAAGCATAAAGTACTGCGAGAACGCAGACGAAGAGAGAGAGACCCACACGGCGGACGTGTCCGGAGCGTTCTGAACCGTCCAGCCTCAACACATACACACTCACACACGGGCCCACAGCACGCGTATGTAATCGCCTGGGGAGACGGGTAGGCGGCAGCGGCGAACAGAGACATCTGTCGGCCGATCGTGGAATCCTCGTGGACGGGGGGTGATGCGGCATCGAGGCGCCTCCCCGGCCAAGCCCCGCCCCACGGCTCCATCGTCTGCACACATGGTCCTCGTTTTCTGCACTCGTTCGTCTATGACAAGACAACCACCTGCCATTCATCGTTTTCGCCCTAATGGCATGGGGAATGGGTGCAGATGACTCGTTCTGGCCGATCGCCCGCGATTCTCCCCATCGCGTAACTGGAGAACGCCCCGTGAAATGGGCCCTGGGAAAAACGTTGCTCACATCGCCGATTGAATGAGAACCCCCTGGAGATTACGTTCAATCATCGCCGATTAGGATCTGAGAGATAGGGCGGAGCCACGCAGCTGCATGTCCTATGGATGGATTTATACTTAGGGGAGTGAATGAGAGTGTTTTTGAGCCCTATTGGTGAATTTCCCAGACTCGGATGGACTCGAGTGGGCTCGGATGGACTCGGATGAACTGGAATGGACTCGGATGGACTCGGATGAACTCGCATGGACTCGGCTGGAATTCGACTAATGAGAACTCATTCAATTGAAGAAGGTCGGAACGGTCGAATGAAAAGGGCAAAAAATTTTTTGAAACAAAGGCTCTGTATCGTGTCACGAGGAGGGGAAGGGAGTCATTAAAAAAAACTCTCGATGGATGATAAGCAATAATGATATTATCAAGAGGGGAAGAAGAAAGGCTCCTCCCCTTCCATGAGATATAGAAATGGCTTTTCTCATCGGAGTAATTAAAGGGGTGATTTACGAGGGGGTTAGACCCTTTTTCTTGCAGGTGGCACATGCGACCTCTCGTGATCTTTGAGTTCTTATCAATTTTTTCCATTGAAATATGAATGCGGGGTCCATTTGGCAGCTGCGATGATGAATCGGTGAAGGTTTTTTTTTTTTTGTTCCGTCGAGATTTCGCGATTTTCGTGGGTTTTGGCCTGCGTTAACTGGAACTTTCATCTCTCGGAGATGCTGCGTCACTCTGGGAAACCGGGTGGCTTCGGAAGCTCGAAAAAAAAAGTTTTTTTTTTTTTGGTCCGCCACGTCGCTTCGTCGGGAATATAATTTTTTTTTTTTTCACTGTTCGTCAGCATTTTCGAAAACCTTTTCATTACTTGGTACCATTCGGGACACGCATTCAGTGGTTCTTTAAGGGATTTCAACATGTACGTTTGTCGCATGGGTTTCGCATCGTCCTGATCAGTCCCTGAAACCTCAAGTTCCTCCCAAGTGGTCAAGTCCATAGAAACACATGCGGATCAAATAAGGAAATGGGCGGAGCCACAAACGCGAATAAAATTTTCATGCTCACAAATCCGAAACATGAAGCCAAATGAAATTCTTGGATCCGCCACTGCATCGCGACCAAAATCAGGTTCATAGGGATCCTGTGCATTTACTTTTGCAATTTTTTTATTAGTATGCGTCAGTACTTTTAGTACTTGCTTGGTTGAAGGCGACCCTGAAAGACTCACGATACACCTCACTCGTTTATACTTAGGGCTGTCAATTCGAATAGATTAACCGCCCGATTAATCGATTAAAGTATTAATCCCGATTTAAAACTTTATTCGAAATTAATGGAATTTGAATCTTCCCCCGAATGGCTCCTTTTCCCCTGTGCAGTTAATAATTTTGCAAAACGAAAACGAATGCTTTATCGAGGGAACGAAACGTGATGATTGGCTTATGGACGGTAGTCGTTTTCGCACAGTTCATTCTTCTTCAAAAATTGCTTACAATTTTTTTTTTTTTTTTTGGGGGGGGGGGGAAATGGAAAACAAAAANTTAATAATTTTGCAAAACGAAAACGAATGCTTTATCGAGGGAACGAAACGTGATGATTGGCTTATGGACGGTAGTCGTTTTCGCACAGTTCATTCTTCTTCAAAAATTGCTTACAATTTTTTTTTTTTTTTGGGGGGGGGGGGGGGAAATGGAACACACAAATGCAAGCTATTGCTTCCAAACAATTTCAAAAATGAAGCTTCCTGCCCCATTCGCATCCACAAGCGTACTGGCACGCCTCCCGCATGACCTTGCAGGCGAAGCTCCTTGCAAGCAGCGGCCTGGAGCGACCGGAAAGTCACTGGATGAAAATGGGGAAAAAAGAATGTCGTCGTGAAGGAGCTGCAATGGAACGCGCAGAAGGAATAGAGGATTCAGAGAGGGACGTGGGACAGGAGAGGTAGAAAAGAGGATCGTGTAAAGACTGAGGAGCGAGAGGCATACGTTCAAGTACGTCGGCGAACGTCTGCGGGACGTCATTCTCCCGGCTCATTCCCCGGGAATGACCCGGGAGAGAGGGGAATGAGCAGGGAGATGGGGAATGCTGGGAGCAGGCGAGAGAAGAGGAAACGAAAGTGTGAAACCTTCTATTCCTCGCCTTTTCTTCTATCGTGTTGCCCGTGGATCGATGATGAATCTTTAAATCTCCGCACGATGAAGTGTCACCTCATACCTCAATTTCTGCATCCATCTGGCACGGCTTCATCTGGCTACGTTGTAATCATTCTCCGATTGGAACGTGTCACATGTAGGTCAAACTAAACTGCATCACCTCGAGTCACTTCCCGAGGCTCGCCGAGGTGTTGGACACGATTCAAGGAATCTATTCAAATTCGATTAATCGATCGATTAATCGATTAAATGGTAATCACGAAAGTACTTTTAAGTACTTGCAGGACTCCTTCAGGCGCCCACAGCGATCAATGTATTACGTAAGGTACTTTTCAGTACTGCCAGTGCTAGCTCAGTAATTGCACCCTTAAAAAAAAAAACTAAAAAAGATGAAGGCAGTCCACTCTTGTCTTTCGAAATGGCCGGAGAATTGATGCTTCGTCAAAAACACGAAACAAGTACCATCAAGTACGAAACACTCAAACTCGAAAAGGCGAGAGGTCAGTGTATTTGTGTTAACAGGGTGAGGTTAAAGTTGGAGATAGGACGTGGTTTACTTGCTAATTTCGTATTGACCGTTGTTTACAAAAGGAACAAAAATAGCAGGAAAATGATCGTGCAATGGAATTTCAAAAGCTAACAGCTTCATCTAGCAGAATTATTCAGAAACAAAGAGGACCAAATTAGCAAAACAGCTATTTTCAGTATGCAAGAACTGTATAGTGAATTTTGTCCTGTATATAGCCCCCCCCTGCCCCCTCATTGCCCCCTTACATCTTGGAATTGTATCTGAATGAACCAGGAGGAGTTGAAAATCCGTCTGGAAGAAAAGGAGCGAGGTGTCCCGAGGTGCTCTTGCGAAACGCACAAGCGCCGATATGAGGCTATGGCTCAAAGCGAAGTTGTGGCAATCGGCTTCGAAAGGAGATAATCGCGCTTCTGGAAAGATGATAATTAGGGGATTGAACAGAATTGGCGGTGAGTTTCTGGTCAAATATGGGGACAAGAAAGCGAGTTGCGACATGAGGAAAGCGAAATGCGACATGAGAAAAGCGAATTGCGACATGAGGAAAGCGAAATGCGACATGAGAAAAGCGAATTGCGACAATCGTGGGGCCGGGAGACTCTGCATTTCTTTACGCAAGGTTTCGTGTGGAAATTTGTAAATGCGTTTGGATGCGACCTCACTTTTGCAGTCATCGCACTGCCAATGTTGGATTTCATGAAAACGCGAAACGAGATTCAGAGAAAAATAAAACCGAAATTCGACACGGACTCGAACGCGAGACCGTCGAAAGGCCTCGCGATCGGAAAAAACGAAATCGGCGACACGTTCGGTGACATCGACGACACATTCGGTGACATCGACGACATTCGTCACGACGATCCTTCCCGGATGCGACCCTCGAAGCGCGAAAAAGGGCAAACCGAACGCGATGGAGCAAAATGCAGGAAAGTTCTTTCCGTGTCGAAAATCGTTCGTCACTTCTCCCCGATGTCGGATGGGAAATCGGACCGACCCCGAATTACGACGGCATTCCGATTCTTCCAGTCGCTTTCGTTCGTCTGACGCGAAACTTCCCGAGAAGTTCGACTGTCGCGTTTTACATTCCTCATGTCGTCTTTCAACTTCCTCATGTCGCGTTCACTTTCCTCATGTCGTCTTTCAACTTCCTCAGGTCGCGCCTTTCCTAACCGAGCACAATGGAATATGTTTTCGTTTCTTTGTTTTCACGTCAAAGGTCATACTACAAAGGATGACCTTTAATGCGGCCTGCAGGATCCTCAGGAAACGGATGAGAAAATTGTTCCTCGCAAAAGCGGGGAAACTAGCACATACCGGCAAGGGCTTAAGGAAGGTCTCCAAAGGTCACCGAGTCCCGTCTCAAAGGTCGTGGAATCCCGCCTCATCTGCAACCTGATCAACCAGAACCGAGCGGTGAAAATGTCGCTCGTCGCATTGAATTGCATTTATTTTGAACATACCGCGTACTACCTGGAGAAACAAATAAAGTGGTACCGAATGATGGTTTTAAAGGACTTTTAAAATACTGCGGTGAAAAATGACGGCCCCGACGATTCTCGCGTTAAAGCGCTAAATCGAGAAACAACAGCGTCGCAAACGACACCAAAAACAACCGACAAGAACGACGGAAAAAAAGACCGAGATCGCTCCGGCCACGCTCTGATTGCCGCGATCGCGGGAATCGGGTCGCGAAGGCGGGAAAGATCGTTCGAAACGGTCGCGAGAATCCGTGATGATTCGAGGCGAAGGGCGGGGCTGGCCTTCAAGGGCTTTCGTGACTGAGTGGCTGGCCTTCGCTGCCACACAAAAAAATAAATAAAGAATAATAATAATAATAATAAAATAAAAAAAAACAATGGGTTTGCTGCGCCAAAATCACAAAATCAAATCTTTCCCTCTCGGATTTAATTTCTGAGGGAAAATCCTCGGGCAACTCGAGGAATTCCACGTTCGACGCTACGACGACGCCCATCGCAACGGTCTCGACTTCGTGACACTGCAAATCCAACGACAGCAAAAAAAAAATTTTTTTTTTTTAAATCGTCTGACCGTGAAACGCCCGAAGTCAGTATATTAAACGAATTCCGGTTCCAAATTCCCCTTAAGAAGAAAATCCGTCCCGACCGTTTCGAAAAGTAAAAT